ATGATGATGATACATGATGATACATGATGATGATACATGGTGATGATACATGATGATGCATGATGATGCATGATGATAATGATATGAAAAATAAGAGAGCTAATAAGCAATTTTTGATAAATTCCCCAACATGACCGCAAAGATGTAACGCGCACAAAAAGAATACTTTTAAGGTAGCAAACAGTCTCTACAACGAAAACAATATGATGCCCAACTGGAGGTGAAGACGGTTGTTAAGTTTCGAATGAATACCTGGTCCAGTTGTCGAAGCGTTTCTTTGAAGCTCTCTCGCAGTTTGTATGGGACGAAATTGTGGGTGTTTCTCTTCCTTTCTTCACTTAAACGAGCCACCATATGAGCACCAATAGCTTTTTCGACCAAACTGTAATACCTAGAAAACACAAAGTAAGAGTGGGAAACGTACGGTATCACTTACAGCACGTACACAGTACGACATGCCGTAACACTGAAATGGATTCCCATAAGAATGGTTATCGTATGAGTGGGAAACGTACGGTACTCACTTACAGCACGTACACAGTACGACATGCCGTAACACTAAAATGGTTTCCCATAAGAATGTTCATCGTATGAGTGGGAAACGTGCGATACTGACTTACAGCACGTACACAGTACGACATGCCGTAACACTGAAATGGCTTCCCATAAGAATGGTTATCGTATGAGTGGGAAACGTACGGTACTCACTTACAGAAATTACACAGTACGACATGCCGTAACACTGAAATGGATTCCCATAAGAATGGTTATCGTATGACTGGGAAAACGTACGGTACTCACTTACAGCACGTACACAGTACGACATGCCGTAACACTGAAATGGTTTCTCATAAGAATGTTCATCGTATGAGTGGGAAGCGTACGGTACTGACTTACAGCACGTACACAGTACGACATGCCGTAACACTGAAATGGCTTCCCATAAGAATGGTTATCGTATGAGTGGGAAACGTACGGTACTGACTTACAGCACGTACACAGTACGACATGCCGTAACACTGAAATGGATTCCCATAAGAATGGATATCGTATGACTGGGAAACTTACGGTACTCACTTACAGAAATTACACAGTACGACATGCCGTAACACTGAAACGGCTTCCCATAAGAATGTTGGGGCACGTAGGATTGAAGAAATAGAAAGCACGCCTGAGTTGGCAGAACACGAGAGAAGTGTTAGGAGCGTCGTGCTTCTCGACACTTTTCGAGTAATCTGTCAATCATCAAGTGTTTTGTAACTGCACACAGCACAGCAAGCAAGTTTTTTTATTTCTCTTATGAGATACAAATTATAACAACCGTTATTTTAGATGACGCAACTGAAATTTGCGCGCGCGTGCTGTGTGCTCTCATAAAGCACGCGCTCACTTCCAATCAGAACGCGAGATTTTTAACAGTTATTTTATAAACTGACTTACAGCAAGGACTGATACGGTAAATAGTTAGGAGTGTTAGGYAGATTTGTGTGTTATTTTAAAACTTTCATGGATCTTTATCTTACCTTTTTTCTTGAGACTCGGGTGGAGCCACCGCTCTGGGTAGACCGAGAGTCGGAGTTGACGCAGGAGGAAAAACGATCTTTAACACGGACGTAGTTTCTTCATCATATTCTCTGCCATCATTGGTCGACGCATCGCCATGGAAACCATTTGCTTGCTCTTCGGGTGTCTTGCGAGTCGAGTCCGTTTCTACAGGCGTCTCCTCGGTCGTGGATTTAGTCGCACTCTGGATGGAGCCCCATGCTACCCTGGTTGGTTTTGAGTTTGGGGACTCACTAAAAGGATCATCAAAACCATGGAAGCCACTGTCACGCACATCGGAGTAAGTAGCTGGAGTACGTGACTCAGCACGACCAGCTGACTGCACTCTCTTTAACCTGGGTGGATTGTTGTGTGACAAAATTGAACTATCAAGTCCAATCTCTTTAGTCTCTGATGGATCTGCTTCACTCTTTGATCTCATTCCTCTTGTGGGGCTGGCTTGACTGGATCGATAACGTGCCCTGGTGACGAACCCCATGTTATAGGTACCTCCTGGGCTCTTGKATATGTTACCAGGGGTGCCTTCGGAGATCATAGAGTATGTCCCTGGTGCAGACTGTGGGCCAGTGTGTAGGACCTTCACGTTTTCTTCCACCACATATTCCTGCTTTCTCTTGGTAGTTGTACGAGTCGTTYGAGCAGGTGGTGCACTTCTGTTTATTTTGTGCTTGTATATAATGTCGGTTGACAGGCTTTGAGCTGATGGTGTGTAATTGTTTGCCACAGAATCACTGAAAGACACACAAAAAAACGAAAAGAAAAATTAAAAGAAAAAATGAGAAGGAGATGTAAACTTTTATGAAAGACAACAGCAAATCTTCACCATAGGAAGAGTAGTTTTAATTCAAAATAAATTTATTTGTTGAAGTTAGCCCTAATTAAATTCACCGATCCTGGCTTTGCTTGAGTGACCTCCAAACAATGGGTAGTTTTCCCAAAGGAATAAAGAATGTTCAATAAACAACCTCAAATTCACAAGAATGTTTAGTAGTCATCGATTTTTTTCTTAGTGAACTTCATTTAGAATGCTTTCTCATATACAATGTTCAGCAATTGGTATCTGTTCCATGACGTATATCAAAAACACATTTTAGCTTGTCTGACGTAGCAACAGTAACTAGTGAGGTAGAATAATAAATTTGGGATCAGCAGTGAATTATAGATAGTCCCAGAAAATATCCACATCTCCTTCAAAGAGGGCTGAAGTGCCAAGGGGGGTAGGGTGGGGATAAGAAAGATCGTGCGAGGGGAGGGGGGAGCAATATTCCCTTACCTGGCATGTCTGTAATACTGCTTTTCCTTTGTTGGGGATGCTTTGGTATATGCAGCATACTCTACTATTTTGGGTCTCTCACTGTAAGCAGGCTATGGAATGTAATATTGATTTTAATAACTATATTGTGTTACATCGATAGTCCATTTTTATTGGCTTAGAAAAGATGTCATTCACAAAATTTCCTATTTATATTTTCTAAGTACAAAACTCAAACTTGTACTAATATGAAGGAGGTGTGGCCTAATTTTGATTGATGGACAGAACATACTGCATCATATAATTACCTGTGGTGCACTGAGTGGTGGCAGGTGATCAAATATGTTTGGCCTTTTCTTGGATTCAATTTCACCAACATTAACCTAAAATCATAAGCAATAATTATAAGACAACTATATTTTCAATATTACCAGCTGATATGAGAAAAAATGTTAGCAAATAAAAATCAAGAAAATTTGAGGTGACAATTTCCTCTTAAAAAAAAAATTTCCTCTTAAAATTTGAAATCTCCAGGCCACCAAATGAAAAAGATATATTGTTGCTCATAACGTTTCATAACAGTGACACAATATTTGATGATTTTGATATTTGGCGGGCATGTTTTTATTTTTCGGTGGTCAATTTTTGCAGGCTTCATGACACCACAGTTTTGCAGTGATGTCATTTATATGCCACTTTTTCAAATCAGCTGGTAATTTGGAAAGTTTGGAAATGGTATCAATGTATAGAACTCAAAGAAACATTCCTTTGCCTTTGGATTAAAAAATTACAATTCTTTGACTAAGGCCTAGGGCAAACGTTGAACTTTCCATGCAYCGAACTTAATTACATCAAAGGATGCCGCCTCATTATCACCTGATATCCATTGTTTTTGATGAGTTCGGTGCATGGAAAGCTCGACGTTTGCCCTAGGCCTAAATGACAGAGAATTTTTGGAAACAACATTAATTTAGTCAAACATGCATTGACCTACGATGTAGAGTTTATTCTAGCAGAAACGAGCAGCATCCAAAATGCACAGATAGTTCGAATAATAAGGTTGAAGGTTGCATGCAGCGCTGTCTGATATACAAGACTGCACAATAGCAATTATATATAAATACGATTATGATATAACAGTATCGCTGGTGCCCTATTGTGGTGCTAAGTGTGTATGACCACTCAACTTGAACAGCAAAAGTGCAGATGCACAAATATATATGTTGTTAGAGAATAYACAGCCTTACATTTATTATGAACATAATTATTAATAGACACTTCTGTTAAATGCTGATGTTTGATTTTACATTATAAATTTTGTTATTTAGAATGCAAGCTGAGGGTTATCAATAGGTCATCTTTTTAACATGTGTGAGTCTCAAGGGGGGGCCCCACAGGGATTCACAAACTTTACAGAAATTGACAAACAACATTTAAAAAATAAAAACTCATACGAGGCCTAATAATCTCACTTAAAGCTATTTAAGTCCTTGAAATGAATGTCTCGTAGTCAGACATCCCAAGTTTTACTCAAATATTCAATTTATTGCACAAAAATACAAGTCAAAAATTTTAGGCCATTCTTAGGGAAAATTTTCTACGTTTAGGATGTATTTTTCTTTAATTTTTAAGCATCAGGGCAAGACAATTAAATGTAATGAAAATAGTCATAAGTTTTTGTTAACGCTGGTCTCTATGGATACTACAACATCATTATCAGCACAAAAATACACAATATTTTTCGTCCAACATTTAACAATATTTCTTACTAAAAATACACAATAATTTTTTACTTTTGTCTTTATATACAGAGTGTTTTGTTTAGTTTACTTAAAATGAAAATAAATAGCGGATGCGAGGATAGAGTTTTTCTTTTCAAAATTAAAATTAAAATTCATGTTGAATTTATAAATTGTAACTTTTATCAAGTCAATAAATTTGGTAAGGAACTTGTATTTCCAACCCTTAACACTATAATTTGGAAGATATTTTTTAGGAAAATGCGGATAAAATTATCCTGAAGTAGCTATAGAGATAAATACAGGCATTAGAAGCTATGGTTTTAGGTGTAACAAGGTAATAATCGTCAGAAGGTAATAATTGTATAAGGTAACAGTTGCCAACAGTGTCCGTCTTCCACTATTACATTAGCATTGAAACTCTAAAGCTTAACGCTAAAAGGTTACTCGCTCTATTTATGGTCAAAATATAATCAAAAAGAAGGCTACAAGGACAGAAACTATGAGAGAAATTATAATAATTTCTTGTCGATAACCCTTTTGTACCATTATGTCCGTGTTAAAAGCAAACCAAACAATTGAAGCTGCTCATTCAACTAGAATGATAATTTGCGGTTTTTAGACGAAATTTTCTACTTCCGTGGAATTATCTAAAGTCTGAGTTATAAAGTGTTAAATAAGCTTGATGTTGTTACTTTGCAGACCATAATTCTTAAACTTAGGGGGAGATTTTTACCTCTATTTTGTCTCGTGTCGTCGCCATGCTTCGAAGTTCTGTCACTTGTCCTTCTTCTTGAGAAAAAACGACTTCATCTTCGAAGGAAAGTTCTCGTAAAATCTTTCAAAATCCGCAACAATGAGAACGAACTGCTGATCCTACTAAATCCGCCTTCATTTTTTAAGTTTTATTTACTTTTCTCAGTGACTTACAAGGCATGATGCCAGCCGTTTCCAAGTTATTCTAATATAAATTTTTAATAAATAACTTATAAATTTTGGCACCTTTGCATCGCACGAAAAAAAAATCAATATTTTAATATTCCGGCGATGCAGCGCTTTTCAATCACACTTGCGAAATCGAAGGATTTTGACTCCACTACGCTAGAAATACAACACACACACTTTCGTTATACATGGGCTCCCGTGCCGGCAAAATAACCATTTGTGCAAATCTCGTGCCTCGCTTGGCACAAATTACATTCTTGGTGGACGTCAATCAAGGCGTTTTTGACAACATTCCATAGACAAGTGCACTTGAAAGCTTTGTATTTTCCGGCAATGTCATGGAAACACTTTGGTTGACATCCACTGAAAACTTTATTTTGTTGCGATAGAAATTTGTACGATTTTGTGCGTGATTGAGAAGGGCTGTAATGTGGAGAGAATTAGTTACCATACAGGTTTTATTTACATGTTTTAAATAGAAAAATTCGCTTTTTAGCTCACTAGTACTCTTTATCCATTCATTACCACAAACTTTATACCCCCGTACCCAAACCTCCCTACGCTGTGCAACTCAGTTGTTGTTTTTTTTCTAGAAATAATTCAGAAATGAGAAAATAAATACTTCAAATGGAAACAACTCCAATGTCATAACAATTTTCATCCAGTTCCCTGTAGTTAGAAAGATATTTCGGATTTTTTTTATTTTGACCTTTAGCTAAAGGGGCCTTTATTGAATGAAAGAAAAGTTCCTTTATCCCCATTTGAGGGGTTATAGTTAGGCTGCGTTTATAATGTATAGCTTAAGAGGGGGAGGGAGGCAGGTGAAATTTAGGGGGGATCGGAAAATTTTTTACCAGTAAAATGGGGGGGTTTTTTAAAAATTTTTCAGAGAATTGGGGGGGGGGATGCAAAATTTTTAGAAGCTACAAGAGATTGCCTGGGGGGATAGTTATTTTTGGGTGGACTTCAAGGGGGAGGTTAAGAATTTTTTGTCATTTAAAGATTTCACCTGCCCCCCCCCCCCCCCCCCCCCCCCCCCCCCCCCCTCTGCCATACATTATAAAGGCAGCCTTATTGGAGAACGTTATTTTTACCTCAATAGTTATTGACAACATATAAGCTTTGATAGTCAACGTTTTTAATAGTTTTTTATGGCAATCAACAGTATAGTACTTCATTCAGATTTGATAAAACACATCAAATGCTAGGGTATTTAATAACATTTTCTTTCAATTATATTATAAATATCTAAATAAATAGGGAATATTAATAGATTTATTAATATTTGAAAAACTGCTAGGAAGAAAATAATTTTTTTTGCATTTGATGTTTTTAGACAAATCTTTATTTGGGCTCCAGAGGTTTTGGGTGGTTTTAGAACAAGCACCACTAAGACAGCAAATGCTCTCTGAATCTCTGGACCCCAAGGTAAATTATGACTTATTTTGACAATTAATTTAAACCCTTTACACCAGTTATTTTTACATTATTGTTACTAATTTTGTTTCATTGGTAATGAAAGTATCTTGAGATGTTTTGTGCTTAAAACGTGGTAGCTGTAATGTGTTCATTGACATTGTAAACACATATTTCCTTGGCTCAGTTGTACGAAGGGTGGATAGCTCTATCTGGGCCGAGTTGTACTAATGGTGGATAGTGCTATACAACAGATAAATCTTATCCAATGGATTTTTTTTGAATAACAGAATCCTCTTATCCACTGGATAAGGATTTATCCATGGGATAGCTCTATCCACCGTTCATATGACCAGGCCCTGATTGCCCGTCATTCCATCATCGTTTGTGAAGGTTACAGTGACCGAAACCTCCAGGAATTAATGCACAATTCTAAGTCAATGACAGTTCTTTAGATATTTTCATAATATTATGTGCTATCTGTGCTGGATGTTCACTGAAAGTGATTACAAAGGCTTCGTTGTTGGAGAATCAATCAAAGAATAACAAAATTAATGGCACCTTTGCAAGGAGGAAAGACATGACCACTTTTACTTTCCTTGCCTGCGTTAGTCACAGTGCAAGGTTCTTGCATCCAAATTCTAGAGTTCAACTGTTGGTTTCTCACGCTCAGCCAAGAGGTCTTATTTAAGAAAACATAGGCCTGTTGTTTCTCAATGATAATTCTCTGTGGCTGTCTTTAATTTAATGGGAAGTTTCGTACTGAGTAGAGTGAAGTCAATAATAAACACCTATGAAATAATTTTCAAACATCATTTCTAAATGTTGTACAAAAGCATTATAGTAAGCTGATCAGCATAGCTGTGTTTTCTGTTGTTGTTAATAAAATTGGAATATTGACCAATATACTACTAAAATACCTGTTTGGCAGGGTAATACAAGAATTTTTTCTTTGTTTTTTTTGTTATATTTTTTGTTTTGTTGATAGAATGAAAATTGAATAAATTAGGATTTATTTTACACAAGCTTACTGAAATCACTTTAAAATGCTCAAAATAAAATATAATACTAAATAATATCACAACAATATCAAAATATCCTGGTTCACAACTTCCTACATATTGCAAGTGAAGACCAGGAAGATTTGTTTTCACACCATAGCAACATTGAATTCATTTGACATTAAAATACGAATTGAATTTTATATTCTTTTGATACATCAAAATATGTATTTAAAATTTTGGCTTTGTGTGCATTCAGGAAACGAGGTTTACTGGGATTGTACGTCATGAGGAAATTTCATTGTTTTGTCATTTAGTATGGTTCCTTTCTCAATATGCACTGACATTACGTTTGTCCCTGTTCTTGCCTCTCACTAATGTTCTTGCTTTGGATGCTGCACTGTTGTACTGATTCTGCAATAGATAGGAAATATTGATAACGAAAAGTTGGCATTTACTGACCACTTGAACAAAAGACAAAAAAGATCTTTAGCCATCAATCAGGAGAGAGGAAAATCAGTATCATATTGACATAGGCAGCCAATCACAATCTTTCAATATTATGTTGATCCCCCCCAGTTATTGATAACAATTAAGTTTTTCTCTGATATTTAGTTTCATTGCTTAAGTTTGACTTAAGTTTGATTCTTATGTAAAATTACAATTTTCGGGCAGTCTAAGCTCCAAAACATCCAAAATTGGAAGGCTTTGTTTCCATTCTACATTGTAATTGGTTCACTTGTCTAACTGGTCTAAGTGGCCCGGGTTACAGTAGTTAATTGCACTATATACATGTATAAATATATGAATCAAGCACTACATCAAGGTTGGAGTCACTCACCCTTTGGAATTTGCTCACTTTCTGTAGCTGCATTTCCTCTAGGTTGACTACGGGACCAAGTTCAAAAATGTCCCTCAGTAACTCATTCCCCTAAAACAATGAGATACAAGAATAAGTATTTAAATAACTTCAGCTTTATGGCTGCAAGGAGATTGAAAATAAACTATCACTATAGCATGCAGAGGGTATGTATATTGAATATAATAGTAGAATAACAGCCAGTACGTGTCCAGAAGATTGTACAGATTGTACCCAAATAAAGAAATTATTTTTCATCATCAAAATTTATCATCATCATGATCGTTTACTTTTGTCATCATCAACATTACTATCAATAACACCACTATCATTCAYTTCCATAATTATCCTTCACTTTTATCACCATCACCATAATAGGCCCTTTGCAGCTAAGCAATCACGTGCTGATTAATTCACGGAGAACAAATGAATGAACATTTTGATTCCCATGGGTGAAATATACAGGAGTGCAAACAAACTTTCTACAAACTGTTTTGAGAGATCGTAATAAAGCTACAATTTGTAACACACTGGATAAACATGTTTTCATTCAGTTCTTTACAAGTAGCCAAAAAGAATCACCAATTTAGTATAAAAACATAATATTAGTTTAACATATTTTTAGTATAAAAATTTTGCATTCTAGTACAGACATGTGACTGTTTACTGCAAAGGGCCTATTACATTAACCCTGAAGATCATGTATCACTGCATTCATTATTCATTCATCTTTACCACCACCATCTACCATCATTAATTTAATCTCAATCTATATACCTGCAATTGTACAGGCATTCCCAGTCCCAGACATTCCTTAAAAGCAGAGTACTGTCTCCTTACTGTCCAGGAGTAGAGCTCCAAGTACTCAACACCAAACTTTATCGTCTCATCTGGTACGCTACCATCCTAAAGACAAACACAGATAAAAAGATTCAGCTCTGTGCTATCAAAACAGAAACTTATACGAACATTTTCGGTCAAACATTAAGCACAAAAACATTGTTAGTATTTGTTTACGTTTGAAATGGAACACTTGAGTAGTCTTCTTTTTTCCCTCAGTTGTACATACCTCGATTGCACGCATGACATCACGAAAACTCGACCTCTGATTACGGAGATCTTTTTTAGCTTTGTGTTTGTCACTGTCAGTTGCTAGGTCCTTTAGTTGCTCACAAAATCGGGCTTTTTCACCAACAAAGGATCTGTCAACAGCTCTAGCTTTCTCATACATCAATGCTAATGCTTCCCCCGCTGCAATCCTGACTGAAATATCATTTGCACCTAGAATGCACGAGATTCTCTGCAAGAATCTGTGAACAAATAAAACACATTAATTTTTATCATACATAGTGCCAGTCTTAATAATACTAAGTTGTTTTTGATATTTAGACACAATCTTTATTTCACTGATTCTTAATTGAGTTTACACTGAGACATATTATTCAAAGCATTGGAAATAGTGAAATTTGATTGAAATAATACTTTTTTATTATTGCTATTGAAAATTGAAGTGGTTACAACATGACTTTCAACTTTTGTGATTTGGCCGGCATGTTTATGCCCCTCAGTGGGACACCAAGATGGCAGACCCATATATTTCAAATAAATTATGGCCATAGTCAGTATACAAAACTTTTGGCCTATAAAAGTACAGTAGGTGACAGCCAAGAATAAGGTAAAGTAGAGTAAGACAAGAGAAAAGGGCCACAAATTTATGTTACATGTTTTTACCCTCATAACATAAAGTTGGTGGTGTTATCATAATACTTACTTGCGTACAGTGYTATAGGCTTCAGCTTCAGGTGCAACAGACAGAAGTAGAGCCCAGGCTAATACAGCGTGGCAATACAGAGGTGCAACAACTGGGGTGATAGTTTTGTTGTTATTGAAAACTCCTTCAAACACTTTAGCACACTGTTGTGAATCCTGCAAAAACGAATATATATATAAGGTTATTTCAAGACTACATCAAGACTGCATTCAAGAATCTACATGGGAATCTACAATGATATATTATATTGACAGCAGTCTATTGCCCAATAGTAATGACAACAGATGGAATGAAAAGACAAATGATATAATTAAATTGTGGGAATTTTTCAACAAATTAACTTACCTCAATGTCTTCTGCAGCAATGAAGCAACAAAGACCAAGGGCACTGCAACACTAACAGAGAAATATAAGTTTAGTCATGCTGTAAGTACAGCATAGTATTATGCTTGCCCCTGACCTCTGAGTTTTTGGGTTCAATTCCTTGACTCAGCATCACATGTAAGTAGAGACTGTTAGGTCTTTATTCAAATAATAATGCTTATCTTTATTCAAATAGCAATATAAAATTGAAAAACTTGAATTTACAATATAAATAAAGATTATTAAAAATTGAAATTATAAAAGGTAAATTGAGAACACTAAAATATTGCTAAAGGGCAGCATCCCATTTACTTATAGCATAAGGTAAAAAACTATCTTTAAAATGTTGGGCCTTACATTTAAAAAGGCTAAATGTTCTTGGATTTCTTAAAGAACAACTATATGTACATTTCAGTTTGGCAGAAGTTTTGTTAATGAACTACCTCGAATTTGAGGGTTTCTTTTTCAGGGTTCTTTGGCTTTCCTCCTTCCATATACTTGCCTCTCACCTTCGGGGTCTTAGGTTCAATTCATGGACTCAGCATCACATGTGAGTAATTGTTAGGTCTCTACCTTGAATCTGAGGGGTTTTTTTTAGGTTCTCTGGTTCCCCCTCCCCCCCCCCCACAAAACCTAACACCTTAAATTCTAATCCACCTGTGAGTTAGCCAGGTCCTGACTTAGGTCAGCAAAGAGGTTGTCTCAGGGTTCTATCTGTGAGTCGATCCGTGCCCTGACTTTGATCAGCCCAGAGGTTGTCTCAGGGTTCTATCTGTGAGTCGATCCG